TTGTTGAAGAGGCTGTCTTTTCTCCATTGTGGGTTTTGGCTCCTTTGTCAAAATTCAGTTGGCTGTATCTGTGTGGATTTATGTCTGGGTAAGTAAGGAAAACTTGTGAAGTGAACTGACTCTGAGAGCAGAGGATAGACTGACCTGTGTGCTCAGCTAGCATATGACACACTGCCCCCAACAGACAAGAAGGATACCAAGATTAGAGGACCTAAAACAAAGCTTCTTTTTTTTTTCTGTACTTGGGGTTTGAACTCAGGTTCGCAGATGTGCTAAGCAGGTACACTATCACTTGAGCCATGCCCCAAGCCTAATTCAATGGGGTTTTTTCGTTTTTTGTTTTTTTTTTTTTTACTTTTTTCTCTTTAATATAATTTACTATTGTTTTTGCTGTATTTTATTTTTTAAAGATCTTTTATATTTTTATTTATCTTCTTACCTTCCCCAAATTTTATTTATTTTACCTTCATTTGGCAATTGAATTTTTTTCAACTTAAGACAAGTGCTATCTTTATTATTAGCAAATAAAGAGAGTATGCCCTAAACAGGGAGTTCTGATAGCATTGCCAGTAGTCTCTAAAGAGTATCTTTAGAGACTGTTTCCCTCATTCCATATGGATTTGATCCCAAGAAAAGCAAATCTGTTTATTCTGAAGTCCAACCAGCATCACTGGTGAGATTCTGCTGAAGGAAACTTTTGCTCTCTACTTGATTCTTTTTGGGGGGATGTTAATTGAAATACTTTTTATTTAATTCAACATATCAAAATACTATTGATATAAAATGCTAACAGTTGATATTTTTATGTTCTTTTTTTTTCTTATCATCTTTGCAATTAAATGTTCATTTTATACTTACAACCTATTTCAATTTAGATTTTACATCTGCTCAGAAATACAGTTTCTTTGTTTTCTTCTTGATTCTTTATAACACCTTCCCTCTGATTGTAGATCAAATATGAGTCCTGCAGAAAACTTTGCTTACTCCAGAACAACTCAACCCATTTGAGTTTCCCCATAGCCCAGAATGATAGCTATGTGTTGGAATCATTTCCTCAGTAGTCCATTGTTTCTGGTCTGATTGCATGGGCTTCATCCTGCCCAGAATTCCTGCCCAGGTGCAGGCAAGGGGTCAGTCACCAGCATACCTTTACTATAACTTAATTGACTGAAATGTGATTTCAGTTCACCTTGACCATAACTCATTTGCCTGACATGTGTGACCTCAGTTCATCTTGACTATAATTGATTACCTGACATGTGTGATGTCACTTCCTCTTCACAGCAAGCCTATGTGAGTTGCTTATCCCTAATTTATGAACCAGAAGACTGATGCATGACCAGATCACGCAGCTAGTACTTTTAAGGCCTACACTTGAACGTGGGTCTGTGTTTTAAAACTTAAGTCCTGGCGCTATCTTCTGTTCCTTACATTTAAAAATAATAATTAGTCTAACTAATTATAGAATCTAACGAAAACATCATTTCTAATGATACCAATTATAGAATCTCTATAGTATACATGTATCTACCATATATGCAGAACATATCAAACATATATATGATATATGTTATGATCTGATAGATAACATACAATAATATAATATATTATAGAACTGTAATTTTGGAAGCTGGATGCCAGTGGCTCACAGCTGTAATCCCAGAGGAGGCAGAGATCAGGAGGATCACGATTCGAAGTCAGCCCAGGCAAATAGCTCATGAGACTCTACCTCGAAAATACCCATCACAAAAATAGGGCTAGTGGAGTGGCTCAAGGTTAGTACCACAAAAAAAAAAAAACCTGTAATTTTGGGCTGGTACAGTGGCTCAAGTGGTAAAAGCACTTTTCTTGCAAGCTGTAAGCCCTGAGTTCAAACCTCAGTGCTGCCAATTTCTTTTCATAGACAGGATAAATTTTTATTTTTGTTTTTCATTTTTATTAGTGTAAATTAATTGTACAAAGGAGTTTCATACATGATTACAATGTATCTCTTACTGTTTTTTCACATTATTTCTTCTTCACATTATTTCCCGTGTTTGTCGTTTTCTTTTATTTAATCTCTCTTACTTCTTTTTTCCTGTTCCCTGCCCCCCCTCTTTCATTACATTCATTTATTGTTTACTTTTATCTTTATCAATTTTTAACTTCATAGTTTATCCTGAACTATGTTTTTGCTTTTAATTTTCTGTGGTTACTGGTGTGTACTAGTTGTCTTGAATTAGTTTGTATTGTGTTTCTGTATCTGCAATGCTTTGATGTTGTTGCTGTCATACTAATTTTCTTTCTCTTTAACCAGGGGATTGAGTGCTTAAGGGAAGGCTGCTTACTAAAAAGACCCTATAAAACTGGAAAGATATCCATTTTATAAAAATCATAGTTATGTAAAAATCACAACATAGAAGCACAAAAAATATGAAAAGGCCAGGTAACATGACTCCTACAAAAGGTCATAACTCTTCGTTAACTGAAATACCAAACAAATATTCAAAAGTCTAATTTTAAGAATGACCAATGACCTCAAAGAGAATTCAATTCAACGATAAATGAAGTGAAGAAGTCAACTGAAGACTTGTATGAGAAATTCAACTATTTGGACAAGAAATTCAACAATTTGCATGAGAAATTTAGCAGAGATAGATATCTTGAAAAATAAAAGAACCAAATATATTTGTCATATGTAGTATGACATATAACATTGAGAAATGTTCCTTCTATTCCTAGTTGAAGGAGGTGAAATACCTATACAATGAAAATTATAAATCACTAAGAAAATAATCAATGAAGACATTAGAAGGTGGAAGGGCATCCCATGCTGAAGGATTGGCAAAATCAATATTGAAAAATGACTATGCTACCAAAAGCATTCTATATGTACAATGCAATCCCTATCAAAATTCCAATGACATTCTTCACAGAGATAGAAAAGTCATTCCTAAAGTTCGTATGGGAGCACAGAAAACCAGGAATAGCCAAAGTAATTCTGAGCCAAAAGAGCAACACTGGAGGTATCACAATACTTCACTTCAAACTATACTAAAAAGCCACAATAATAAAAACAACACTGTGCTGGCACAAAAATAGACATGAAGACCAACGGAAAGGAACAGAAGACCCAAACACAAATTCATGCAGCTAAAGCCATTTGATTTTCAATAAAGGAGCTCAAAACATACATTAAAAAATAGACTCCATAACAAATAGTGTTAGGGAAAACTGAATATCAACACGTCTAAGATCAAAACAAGATTCTTCTCTCTCACCCTGTACAAACTCAAAATGGATGCAATACCTTAGTATAGACCTAAAACTTTGAAACTATGATGGGGAAAACACTTGAAGTATAGAAATAGACAACGATAGTCTGGTCAGGTCCCCTCAGGAAATAAGAGCAAAAAGTGATAAGTGGGATGACACCAAATTACAAAACTCTGTGCAACAAAATAAACAATAAATAGAGTGAAGAGACAACCCACTGAATAGGAGAAATTTTTTCTCAGGTATTCATAGGACAGGGAATTAATAAATTCTGTTTATTTGTGCCATCTCCTTCAATTTACTTCATTAATGGTCTGTACTTTTCAGTATATATCTTTAAACTCTTTTATTTAATTTACTCCTAAGCATTTTATAATCTGTAGTTAATGTAAATGGAATTGTTTCCTTGATATATTTTTGGACAGTGTTCTGTTGATGTGTAGAAAAGCTATGATTGTTGAATGTTAATTTTAATTATGGAAATTTATTGAGTTCATTGGCCAGTTCTAACAGTTGTTTCTTGTCCAGTTGCCAGGATTTTCTATATATAAGATCTCACTATCAACAAACAAAAACAATACCACTTCTTTCTTTCCAATTTGGATTCCTTTTAGGTCATTTTCTAGCCTAGTACATCTGTCTAGGATTTTGAGTACTATGTTGTGCCATGGTGGAAAGAGCAAACACTCATCCGCCTCTTCCTTCAGACCAGACAGGATCTACTTATGATAACTGAACTCTGGTTATTCACTTAGATGAATGTCTGAGCCTATAAGTGCTCAGAAAATGGAAATGCATGTTCAAGGTCAAAAAAATGGTGGATGATGAATGTTTAAATAAGGGTCAGCTTTCTCTTGAAAATCAGAGTGGGAACTAAATCATTGCCAATGTTCAAGGCAGGACCACTAAGCAAGGAGAGTTCTGAGAGAAGAAACAGGGGCTCTAAGGAGGAGGATTGAGTCAAATGTGGAGTGCAGGGAGGGGATGGATGTCCTTGTATGATAAAAAGGGAAGTCAGTGAATAGAATGTTTGCTACAAAGAAAACCCACACTCCAGGGTAAGGAGAGATTCACACTATCATCCCCCATTTCCCTGCATCTACGCTGTACCCCTCCTATGATGAAACTCCATGTTAGTAGCACAGTCAAATATTCACTGTATCTCTGTTGCTCTCTACCTGCAGCAGAAACCTGCATCCTCCTGAGTCATCTACAAAGCTAGGGAGACAAGTGGTTGTGGTAAGGACAGGCTGAAGAAATGAAGGAGAAATCACAGGGAGACTCTGGGAGGGAAGGACCAGACCTCCTTCAACCTTACCTGGAACTGACCTGTGTGAGAATGCACCAGGTGTGGGGGCTTTTTTGTGGTGGTACTGTGGTTTGAACTCAGGGCCTGGTACTTGCTGGCCAGGTGCTCTACCACTTCAGTCACACTGTCAACTTCAAACCTGGAATTTTTGTGCTAGATCCTGTACCTCAGTGGGATGAAGACAGATCAGAAAGACGATAGACGTAGTCAGGGGAGATCCCATTTCTGTCTGAGATGTCTGCATAGAGCATGGTGTTCACTTCAGCCCAAGCCCAGGAAAAACAAGAACCAGGCTCATGGGAGAGCAGTTCCACTTTGTGTTGCTTTAATGTAACAACCCTATGATGGGGAGGACACAGCCTCAAAAGATGATACCCTGGGTGTTTCTCTGTGGTCTTATCCATTTTCACTACTGTGTCCAGTGGGAAGAGACACCATGAACCCCACCTTCATATACCTACTCTGCCTTGGTGAGTTGTGAAGAGGAGAGGGGATGCCCTTGCCAGTGAGGAACACCCAATCCAAGGCAGGAAAAGTCTTGTTCTATCAGGAGACCCCAATAGTTCAGGAGGCTTTGGGGAAGAGAGGACCAGCTCAGGCTTCAGGGACAAACCTCTCACAGGGGGCTTTCTTCCTGGACTGAGTCTGGAGCCAAGGAACCACATGCAGGCAGGTGAGTGTGTCCCCAGGTGCCAACTCCTCATTGGAGACAAGGAGTCACCACTGGGCAGTAGGGATAGAGAACAGCATGTGTGGTTGATGCTGGGGGTGCTGGGAGCATCCTGGGGCTAAGAGCAGGGATCTTAGGGAGGAATGTCCTGGGAACTAGTCTCTGATTGTTTTTGCAGGGACCCTCCCTAAAACTACCCTCTGAGCTGACCTAGGCTCTGTGATCACCTGGGGGAAGACTGTAACCATCTGTTGTCAAGGATCCTGGAGGTCCAAGAGTATCATCTGTATAAGGAAGCCCAGCACCCTGGGACAGACATTACCCACTGCAGCCTGGGAACAAGACCAAGTTTCCAGTCCCCTCAGTGACAGATGAATATGCAGGGTCATATTGCTGCAAGTATTATAGTCCTGCTGGCTGACCAAGCATAATGACCCCGGCAGCACAGGTGAGCTAACATACAGGGGTCCCATCCCCAGACTCTACCCTCAGGAAGGTGGTCTGCTTTTAGGGGTGCCCCGTCTCATAGCCAGCCCTGGGGATAATGTGGGAGGTGTGACCACATTTAACACACTGCCTCTGTCTGTCTTAGGATTCTACAGCAAACCCAGTCTGCCCAGCCCTGTGGTGACCTCAGGAGGGACCATGACCTTCAGTATAGTATGGTATTTAGCAGGTTCATTATGACTGCAGGAGAGCACAAACTTTTCTGGACCATGGACTCACATCAAAATTCCTAGGAGAAGATGGAAACCCTGTTTCTTGTGGTCATCGTGACCCTAGCCAAAGGTGGAAGTTCATATGCTGCCATTATCACAGGAGCAAATTCCAAGTGTTGTCATTACCCAGTGACCCCCTTGGAGATCCAGATCTCTGATGAGAAAGGCATATTCTGGCTCATGGTTTATTTAGGCCCAGATGATCTGTTGGTGTGATGAGGGATGAAGCAAAATAGGGTCGCAGAACATGAGAGACAGTAAGAGCAGAGATGTGATGAGTGAAGGAGAGAAAATGAAAAATGGACATCAGGAATAGAGAAGGGTCTTCATGTGTCTCCCTTCCAGTCTCCTGTCTCCCTCAGGGATCAGTTTAAATGTTACCTCCAAATGAGATCTTCATGTGACACTGTTCAGAATACATTTCAAAACTTTCTCTCTCTCTCTCTCTCTCTCTCTCTCTCTCTCTCTCTCTCTCTCTCTCTCTCTCTCTCTCTCTCTCTCTTCAACATCCACACACATATGCACACATATGTACATATTCATAGTTTTATTTATATATGTAATAAAATTGCATATGTCCATTGCATGCACATACTTCCATACATATAGATTGTTTCAGGTAGTATCTGCTATAAAACCCTTGAGACGGGGTAACAGTTCCTGCCTGCATCTGGAGACTAGATGTCTACAGTCCTAACACAGGTACTTGGGCATCTGCAAGGATCCAGGCTCTGCTTGCTTGAATGCTGTGCTCTCCAGAGGGAGATGCAGCCTCCTAACATGGTGCGAAGAACAGAGAGACAGAAGCGGTCCAGCCAGTGTCCTCCATCCCTGCACAGGAGCACTGAGCCATGCCTAAGACATAGTCCTTGTGGCCTAGTCACTGAAAAATACCTCCTCTCAGTACTGTTCCTCTGGGAATTAGAATTTCAATGTGAATTTTAATGAGATCACAAATATTCAAACCATAGCACATACAATCTGCAGTATAAAATTTTCATCTACCTGACTTTCTTTGGTATATGTTTCCATGCTTATGTTTGTCTTTACCCAACTACATTCAAATTAGAAATATACCTAATAACCAATGACTTAAAAGCAGTATTTGGAAAAATATTTATGTGCATAGGTGCATATGCAACACACCTGTGTGGAGGCATATGTGTGTTTGTATGTGAAATGGATGCTTATGTAATATAGACACACACATATCCCATTACAGACATTACTAACTATGTAATAATTGGTTAGTGAGAGTTAAACAGATGATGAACCTCAGGGGAATGGGCTGGATGGGTGCAGGGAGGCAGCCCCAGACTGTCACCCCTTGTGCTGTTGATATGCAGGATCTCTGAGGACCAACCCCTCACCCCTGGTCCCTGGGTGCTGAGCTGCACATTGCTCAGGGGAAGTTCATCTCCGGGGGAATTAGCTTACACAGTCCTGTGTCCCAGACTCATCAGAGAGAACACGAGGGTTCCATTATTTCTGAATGAGAGAAAATTTTTCTATCTGGGCATAGACAAATGTGTCCCATATCAACAAAGAAAAGAGAACTGAATAAAATTAGGGTAGGATCAGCAAAGAATCCAATGAGGAGATCAGGGAGAATCCTGATACATCAAGGAAGTGTTTCATTTAGGATCTATTTGATGTTATGTCATGAAGATAAGACACAAGAATGTGGAGACCAGGGGAAAGGCTCAGGTGTCCTCAACAGTTCACACATCCTATTCGTCTTCCTTGGTTCTCGGGAGCTGCTGGGGCCATCAGCCCATTAGAGAACATGCCAGACCCCAAGACAGGTTAGTAAGGAGAATTCTGAGTTATAGGATGGATACAAAGGAACAAGTCCTGTTTAAGGAAGCCAGGTACCCCTGGGTGGACATCCAGGGATCCAGGAGTAGATTTGCCCTGCCATGACCTCTGTGGCCTTTTGTCCACAATCCCCAGCCTCACACCTCTGGGATTACAAAGTGGAGAATCTCACACACATGGGCATGCCTGGTGTGGTCTTGGTTGTCCTTGGGATTCTGTTATTTGAGGCTCAGTGGAGTCACAGAAGGACCCAGCATGCATCCAGGAGATAAATAGGAAAGAGAGCAATATGATTGTAAGAGACTTGGAAATAATTTTGAAGGTCCCAGGAGGTTCTCAAAAAAATCTGAGGCATAAGTTGAAGAAGCTGTCTGCAGAGAGTTGAATAAATAAACAAGTTTGCGCCCAGGAAAACCATCTGAGCTGTTGCCATAGACGACTGTTCCTCCAATGAACTGTGTGACTCCTCTCGGCTGGTTTTGGCTTTCTCTGCCTATGGCCCTCTTTTCTCACTCCCATGACATGAGGCTACTTCCCCATGACAGCTCTGCCCCATTCCTCTGTAACCTCGTGCTCTGCTCCACTGTTATGCAACACAGTTTGCTTTATTTTTAATGATCACATGACCCAGTGCGCACTAATGAGTCTCCACATCTTCTGTTCCAAATACATAATCTGGTTTAAGTAACAGGATAACTATGTACAAACCAGACTGCAGCCTGGAAAAGATACATCCCAAAACTGCCCTGAGACCCTCTCTCTCTGCATCCAACACCACCTGTGTAGTTTAGTCACATGTCATCACATAGGATCAACACACTGGTGTCTGAAGCAACAGCCCAGTGGTGAGCTGGCAACCAGTTCTCAAAAAGTCAGTTTTTAAAAGAAGCCCTGCTTGGAGCTTTGGCCAATGTGCACAGTGTAAACACCACTTTCCAGGCAACAGTGTTCCATCTGTGGGTGGAAAGTCAGAAGTGATGCACAAAATTGTAGCTAGTGTGAGGCAGCAGCAATCATCTCACTGTCAGCCTCGTGTGCACCTGTCTCCTTTTGTTTAAAGATTGTGACAGTACCATGCTATACTGTTACAGAACTGTTTCTAGGGAATTAAGATACTAGAGTCCTAGCACATCAACATTAGGGGAAAAATAGCAACCTCATTTGGGAGAAAATCTTGATCACATACAATTGCAGTCTATTACCACTCAGAGTACCAATTGTTTTATCAGTTAGGGGAGTGCATTTGGACAATCTAGTTTAAAGGAGGAGATGCATTGCCAAGAAGTTTATTCATGTACCCTGGATGAATGAGTGTGACTGTGCACCAGGACACACTCATAGGAACATCTATAGGGCCCTTCATATTGGACAAGATCTATAAACTCAAGTATCCATCTACTAAAAATGAGTATTAATGCCTTATACCTATGGTGGAATGTTATATGAAAATGCACAAACTAATCTGACAACAGCAATGGAGATCAGTCTTAAAGCATGATGTTAGTAAGCCCCAGTGGCTCGTACCTTTAATCCTAACTACTCAGGAGGCAGAGATCAGGAGGATCAAGTTTTGAAGCCAGCCCACGCAAATAGTTCTCAAGACCATCTCTGGAAAAATCCTTCACAAAAAAATGAGGTTGGTGGAGTGGCTCAAGGTATAGGCCCTGAGTTTAAAACCCAGCACCACAATAAAAAAGCATGATGTTGAATAAACACAGGATGGTTTAAAAGTGTGGGAGAGGATAGTCTATTTCCATGAAGTTCAAACAGAGGCAAACTTATCTCTTAGGGAGGCAAAACTACATTTGACCGTACAATAAAGAAAGGACAAATCCCATGTGGTCCACAATGGTGCTGACATATGAGATTAATTTAAAAGTTGTGCTTACATGAAGTCTTGGGGACTGATGATTGCTAAGGACACAGGCACCCATGTTTATTGGGGCACTGTTCACAGTAGCCAAGCTATGGGATCAGCCTAGGTGCCATCAACAGATGAATGATAAAGAAAATGTGGTATATAAACAGAATTTTTATTCACAAATGTGTTCAAAATTATGTCATTTTCAGGAAAATGGATGGAACTTGAGATCATTGTGTTAAATAAAACAACCCAGACTCAGAAAAACAAGTACTCAGAAAAACATTTTCTCTCATATGCAGAATCCTTATTTTTAAAACACATGAAAATAGAAGGGGAAATGATTTTAAAAGAGGAAAAAGATGAATAGGATGGGGAGGGATAACAAGAGTGAGTAATGGGGTGAATATAGTTACATTATATACTTGAATTAAAATGTGATTAGGAAAACCATTGTTTTGTACAATTCATATTAGCTAATCATATTAAACAGACTTAGTATGAAAAAAATTAAAAATGCATCAAAATGTTTTTTTAAAAATTTACAGAGGGTTACATTGTGACATCTACATGCAATTTCACTTTAATCACTCTGAATAAAATGGATTGGGTCCAAGATGAGCTGCAGGTCCAGCCATAGCACATGTTGCCAAGGGAGAGCTGAAGTCTGAGAAATTTCCAGGAAACTGCCTTCCTCCAGGCGAAGGTAAGAAGACTTCATGTCTGTCATCTTTCCGTGTTGTGGTCAATTGCTAAGCCAGATGAGCTGGGGACCTCACAACATCCTGTGCACTTTTGCTGGGTTGCCCGCCAACAGCAGGTTCAGCACCATGTTGCCCAAGCTCATCTGCCTGGCGTGTCCTGGTGAGTCCTGCTGGGAATGAAGGGTAGGGAGCACTGGGCTGGAAATGTTGGCCTGGGAGGCTGGAAATGTTGGCCTGGGAGGCTGGCCCTGGCCACAGAAAAGAACACTGCTTCCACGGTGTGGGTGGGCACTGAGGACAGAGCTGACCTTTGTTGAGCGGGGTCTAGCTGCTGAGGTTCACAGACCAGGAAGGAGCAGGAGGGATAAAGGTTTTGAGTTTTGTAAGAAGATGCATTGTCTATCATGAGTCTTTCTTTCCAGGGTTCTTCCTGATCCAGAGGATCTGGGCACAAGTGGGTGAGTTTGTCCCCAAACCTTGGGTCACCATCCACCTCTAATGGAAAGATGTTACTGTATAGGAAGGCAGGAAGAACAGGACCAGGGCTGGTGGGTTGACTATGGGAAAACTTGTAGGCAAATCTCTTATAAACTGGAAAGTGGTGGTCCTGGAAACCTGTCACCCCCAACTCTGTCCCAGACCTGTCCAGTTACTCTGCTAATGGATAAGACAGGCTCCAACTTCCATTGCAAAAAAAAAAGCCCTAAACTTTTATTCACCTCTCAGCCATCCCCCATATCTTTTTAGATCCTTATGTCACAATTTCTGACTTGTTAGATTGCACATAACATAACAAATGATTAAAGTTATTATTTTTCTGTTATAACTTTCATGCTGCACATATGAGTTGGCACCACCATTACACTATTGCCAGGCTCTAATTTTCACTCTACTTACTTTTTCATACTTTTTCCAGGGGTTTTATGCTCCCAGATGTGCTCTTGTTACTCATTGACAACCTTTTCTTTGAGCTTGAGGAACTCTCTTTAGCATTTCCTGTGAGTCAGGTCTGGTGGTGATGAAGTCCCTCAGCGTGTTTTTCTGAGAAAGTCTTTGTCTTTCCCTCATATCTGAAGGGCTGCTTTGCTGGGCTCATTATTAGAGGTAGGCATTTTCCCTTCAATACTTTGAATTCCTCATTCCTCTCTGTCTTGGCATGTAAGGATTTTGCTCAGAAGTCTGACACTAGCCATATTGAAATTCCTTTAGGTGCTTGTAGCTTTTCTTTGATTCCAGGATCCTCTCTTTGTCTTTGATATGTTGATGGTTTGATGATAATATGCATTGTGGTAATGTTATTTGGATTTAATTTCACCTGTGTCCTTTGACCTTCTTGTGCCTGGATGTTTATAGCTATCTTCAGTTATGGAAATGTTTCTGTGATTATTTCTCTGAGTTTCACTCTCTTTTGTCTTTCTCTATTCCTTCTTAAATGCCAAAGATGGAAATTTTTCTCTTTTGATGCTATCTCATAAATCATGTAATTTTTCTTCATTCCCTCTTTATTTGTCCAATTGGTTTTTGTTTTGGCTGTCCCTGATTGGATAATTTCAAATTCTGAGCTCACTGACTCTTCTGCCTGACCAAGTCTACTGTTGAAGCTATCTATTTTTTTAAATTTTGGATTATATTCTTTATATATTTTCTTTCTAGTTTTGTTTTTCTCATTGTCAAACTACTTGTGTTCTTCAATAATTTATTTCCAAATGGTAAATGAATTTTCTATCTGTACTCTCTCATAGCTCCTTGACCTTCATTAAGAGAAATACTCTGAATTCTTTGTCGGTCATTTCATAGGTCTGCTTTTTCCTGGCTCTCTTACTAGAGCTTAGTAGTTTTTTTCTTGCTTCATATTTCCCTGATTTTTTATAGTCCATACATTGGCACCTGAACATTTGAGAAGGGAACTGCTTCTTGTGGTCTTTTCACGAGTACTTTGGTGGTGATAGCCTTACCACTTAGTCTACCCTGGGATTCTAGATTGGCCAAATGTCTGGAATCCGGGACAGGCAGACCTTGGTGTCCACTTCTGTAACTGGACTGGATTCCTCCCTGTTCTCTAATGACAAGTGACATTGCTGCCTCTGCTCTGAGGTCCAGAGGGATCACTGGCTGCACTCTTCACCAGGTGTGGTTTCTGGCTGGGATCTATGATTGCCTCTGCCTGGGGAGGATTGGCAGGATGTCCTTCCTGGCTGAGAGTCACTCTTGGTTGGAGTCTATATGGTGTTTCCTGGAGTTTCGTGTTGTTGGCTCTTTTCTCTTGTGAGGTACCTCCATTGGCTGAATGTAAACCAAATTCCAAGATTTATGCACTGGCCATTGTGAGCTCTACGCCCATCTCCAGCTGGCCCTAAATCATCCAGCCCTTCCAGTACTCCCAGTGTTTCCCATGCAAGTTTCCTGAAAAAGGTCCCAAAGCTGGCATAAGCCAAATGTATGCCTCTAACTCATTCTTCCAAATGTGTAAACCATGGGCACAGGGATTTCTATCATGCAGCCCTGCACAGGACAAAACAGACATTGTGGTCCAAGAGACTCACTCATGTTTGTGTTCTAGTGTGGTTTTTCTCAATTCTTGGCTCTAAAACTGTCTACGCCTTACCTCCAACTTCTAGGATATTGACAATGGTATTCTTGCCTGTGTTTAATTGGATTTCTGGGGGGTCGTTATTGTGAAGACAGAGAATTCCTATTGCACCCTCTTGGTGACATCACTCGTCAGCTGTCATTATTTCACTCACACGCATCTTGCCCTCTGTTACATCTAATTTGACTTGTTTTAGCAATTAATTTTGAAAGGTTAAATCTAGGGAGAGTCCCTTACTCAGTACTTGCTTAAGATTCTCAGTCAACACATTTTGTTATAGGAAGATGTGTCATGTCTGTGTGGTGGTGAGGAGACTTCTTGTAGTCCTGCTCACCCCTCATTATATATGTAGGAAAATACCATAGGGAAACCCACTAAAAACTTAAAATTTGTGGGACAGAGAGAGAGGACAGTTAAGAAAGAGTAGTATAGACAGAATGAATTTGATCAAAGTACACGATATGCTTGTTGTAAATGTACAATGAAATCCCTTTGCATAATTAATATGCACTAATAAAATCTTTTTATAAAAGAAATATGGAAATAATGAGGAGACTGAGCACAAGGATGGAAAGGAAAACTGATATTGTTCTCTCTATGCCTCCTCCTCAAGTAGATCATGACAAGCTCTCTCTGACTGCCTGGCCAAGCCCTGTTGTTCCTCAAGGACAGCATGTGACTCTTCACTGTGACTCTCGTCTTGGATTTGACATATTTAGGCTGGACAAGGAAGATGGGGCTCATATCCCTGAGCTCCAGGACAGAGTATTCCAGAAGAGCTTCCTTTTGGGCCCTGTGACCCCAGCACATGCAGGGGTCTACAGATGTTACAACTCTAATCCTCACTTTTCTAATGGAGTTCCAGCACCCAGTGACCCTCTGGTGATCAAAGTTTCAGGTCAGAGCTCATGTTCAGAGTGGAAATTCACTCCTCTGAGTATTCAAATCCCAGATTTTTCTAGAAGGAATGTCAGTCATGGTCCAATCAGAACAACAGGAATGTGTTTTAGATAAAGGAGGATTCAGCATAGGGAACTGGATACTGTGGTGTGCAGAACAATGGTCACCCAAAGAAAACCACATTTTGATCTTTGAAGCCTGTGAGTGTTTATGTTACATGGCACAGGAAAATCAAGGTAGAAGATGAAAAGGGTTGTTAATCAGTTGACCTTGAGATGAAAAAATTACCCTAGATCATCCAAGTGAGCTCCATGTAACCACAGGCTCCACACAGAAAAGAAGCAGCAGAAATTAAGGGTCAGAGCAATGCAGCATAATAAAGACTCCACCATCCACTGCTAGCTCTGAGGACGGAAGAAGGGGCTATGAGCCAAGGAATGCTGGAGACTTCTAGAAACTGGAAGCAAAAGACAAATATGTTTCCCCCTAAAGCTTCCTAAGCACAGCCCTGTAGACACCTGGTTCATACCAGTGGGACCTATTTCAGACTTCTGACCTCCAGAACTGTAGGATAGTATACCTGTGTTCTTTTTAAGCACTATGTTTTGACAGTTTGTTAAAGCATCAATTGAAATCTAATACAGGTACCCAGGTCAAGGACAAATTGAGAAGTCAAGAGAAGGAAAGCTATATCCAAAAGGGGAGGGTACTGTGGCCACAACCAGGCTAGGAGGGGTCAGTACTTCTGGACTCAGACTCAGGACTGCCATGTAAAAAGAGGGGCCATGGGGAATGTCTAGACATGGCAAGGGACCTCTTCCAGGAACAGGTGGGGTGGACATTGGGAGATTTCCTGTTATCTGCCTTGGAGCTAATTCTTACTTCCTGTCAGGGCTTCCACTTTGTCCAAAAGAACATGAAATGGGCTGAAAAGAGAGGGTAGAAGAACAGCCTGCTATGGTCCCTGTCTACCCCACCATTAAAGGCAGGAAAGAGGTCTATGGGAGATGGGTACAATAGACATGTGCCCAGAATGAGCCCAGTGGGAACACAGCCTGATGCTACTAGAGACAGAGATACAGAGACAGATGGTGGGGGTGAGGACAGAGGAGACAAGACACAGAAAAGAACATGTGAACCCAGAGCAGCAGGAAGACAGACTGGGCAAGGGAAAGCCTGTCTTTCCAGGTCCCAGGGTGTCTCCTAAACTCACAACCCTTTTGTCCTTAGGAATCTACAAAAAACCCTCACTCTCGGCCCAGCCAAGTACCCTGGTGAAAAACGGAGGGAAGGTGACCCTACAATGTTGCTCTGAGGTCATGTTTGAGACCTTCATTTTTGTTCTACACAGACAGAAAGTAACCAAGGACCTCTTGAATCTTTCTGGGGAGTCTTATGATGGGGGTTCCCAGGCCAATGTCTCCATAGATCCTCTGACCCCTGTCCATGCAGGAACCTATAGATGCTATGGTTCTCTCAATCATCAGCCTTATGTGTGGTCAGAACCCAGTGACCCTCTGGACATTGTGATCACAGGTGAGTGTTGAGATCTGCCCCTCATCCTTTTTGAGATAAAGATCAGATGTTCTAGGATTTGGAAGCCCTAGGAATTATGAGGAAGATGAGTGTGGAGTTCTTGTGAACAGAGACAGATTTGGTGAGTTTTACCAGAACAGACAATGAATAAGGAGACACAAGTATAGACAATTGTTCATGGTATAAATCACATATACAAGGGTGATGCAGAAAAGTCATAAATGGAGATATGGTGACAGATAACCATAAGTTAGAGAAAGGAGTCTTCTACTCTGATGTTGTTCAGAGACTTGGGACTGTTCAGAAGTTTGGTTTTCATTTTATCTCTGCTCTCACTTCTCTACCAGATAAGCCAGGCATGTCACAGATCTGACCTGAGTTTCAGGGCTGAACTGGGCTCTCAGGCTAATTCCCCATGGATCCTAAAGCCTTGGTCCAGGAGGCACCCACAGATGTGGGTTCATTTTAACACTTCTTCCTTCCATGTGATTGAGCCATAATTTGTCCCAGAATAGCATGGTTTTGGGTAAAAAAGCAGAATACCAGTGCCTATGTTATGTGTTCTTTGTGTCCCCTAACTTTTTCCCCAGGTCCATGCTCAAAAGTGAGCAAGATGTTATAGGATGACTGAGGACAAAGATACCCAATCAATGAGAAACAGACTCAGTGAAAAGCAAAGACATAGAAACACACACACATGCACACGCATAGACACACACAGTGAGCCAAAGGATGGGAACTGAGGGACTCAGAAAAAGAAGGGGAGTAGAGGGGGTAGTGAAGTTGAGAGACTGAAAGGTAATGGCAAAGAAAAGCCCTAAAACTCAGGGCCTAAATGGCTGACACAAAGATAAAATATGAATATGTGAGGTGCAGCTATGTCTTGGGAGAAGAGAGAGAGAGTTCTCAGGTCAGGCGTGAAGAACACGGTGATAAGGAATAGCCTCCCTAACTAAACTGCCTCTTTTTCTTCCAGATCAATTCAAGAAACCATCTATCTCAGCCCAGCCAGACTTTGTGGTGAGGTCAGGAGAGAATGTGACCTTGTCCTGCAGTTCTGACAGTTCCTTTGGCATGTACCACCTGTCTAGGGAGGGGGAGCCCCAGGGACACTGTCTCCCTGCAGTGCAGAGTCACAGTGGTACATTCCAGGCTGACTTCCCTCTGGGTCCTGTGACCCACAAAGGGACCTACAGATGCTATGGCTCCTTCAATGGCTCTCCCTATGCCTGGTCATCCCCAAGTGACCCCCTGCACCTTTCTGTCAGAGGTGAGGAAGCCTTCTATCTGTCCCACGTCTTGTCACTAAAACTAACTGAATCTTAAAGCCATGGCTGAGGAATGTCCTGCTGAGAAAGGAGAGAAAGAAGCACAGAGAAATAGAGAGAGGAAAACACAGCCTGAGTATGAGAGAGGGCATCAGGGTGCAGAATGGTAGACAGGACTCCTCCTAAACCCTCCTGCATTGGGGTGTCTGTATAGCCAGGCAGATGGAGAAGAGGTCAGGGCAGACCCAGGGGGAGGTGAGGCGGGGCTCAATTTGGGAGGTCAGAGGTGGCATCAGCCCTTCACCTTTATGCATTTCCCAGTGGGTCCTCCTGACCTCTCACACACAGAGATCTCTCCACCAGCATCTCTTGTCCTTTCTTCACAGCTTGAGGTCTCAGGGAGGGAGTCATCTCCTCCAAAGACTCTAGGGAAGGGTACCCTGGGACTGACAAGGCTCAGAGTTGGGGGGAAAGTGAGTTCTGGCTCCTGACCAACCTCAAAGAAGCCTCCATAGGTTGGAAGACAGGCAGCCTAAGAGTAAAGCATCCTCTTCTCTCTGCCGTAGAAACCTTGGGACCAGAAGCCTTGAGTTCTAGTGTTGGCTCAGCCACCTTCCAGCTCTGTGGTCCTAGACTTGTCATCTTCCCTCTCTGATCCCCAAACTTCACAACAGCTGAAGAGGTCTGGGGCCAGCAGAAGGATTAGTAGGGACTCTGACTCTCCAGTTTCCTGTAGCTAAGATCTCCTCCAAGAAAGGAACAGGAGAGCAACTCAGACCCGCAGCACTCATTCTAGCTCTGATCCTACTGGGGAGGAGATGAATGAGAAAGGGAGACAAAACTGTTGGAGGAGTTCTTAGAGAAATCCCATTGACCAGAGAATGAGCTCCTTTCTGTCTGCCAGGATGCAACTGTGGTGCAGTTGGTAGGGTGAGAGCCTTACAGTAAGACAGAACCAAGTTCATCCACAGACACAACACATTCATTAATTCCCTCTTTTCACTGATGACTCCATGAACTGAGTATGAAAGGCTTATTTCATTTTTATTGCTGTTGCAATAATGTCTTGCAATTTTGGTGAATTAAGATAATTCAATTTTAAAGAGACTTCTGAAGGTCAGCAGTCAGAAATAGGTCTCACTGGGATGAAAATCCAGGTGTTAGCAAAGCTGTGTTCCTTGCTGAGAGAGGACAAATTACTTCCCTACTTTTCCCAGGGTCCACATTCTCCGTCAAAGCCTACAATGACTAGCCAAGTTCTCTCGCCTTGAGTCTCCCAGTCCCTTCTTCTCTAACCATGTTTCTTCCTCTCCTTTCTCTTGTAAGAACTCTGTGACTACGCGGGATACCCAGATAATCCAAAATAATCTCCCTAATTTTTTTTTTTGCCATCTAATGAGCATCCTCCATTCTTCCATTCGGTTCTTACTAGGGTTTCATATATGACTAATAGTGACTGATACCCAAACAAGAGACTTTCCCATACACAATAGCCTTAAATGCTAGTTTTCATGCAATATAACCTATGCACAAATGGTGCAGATGAGGAAATGAGCATTTGGAGAGGGTATTCTTCAGCCTACCACAAAAAGTAACAAGAGGAATTTGTCCTCTGCTCTTGGCAAGTTGATATTGCAGAATGGTTCAACAAGAAGGCAAAAAATGAATGCACAATGGGTGAGTGAGTGAATGATCAATAGCGAAGAGACACTTAAATAAACTTAAATAAAAGTGATGAAACTTAAATAAATACATAGTGGGCATTTTAGCAGAAAATAAATACAGCAGTGTTAAAGCACCATTTGAGAATTTAATGACAAAATGAATTCAACCCTTGGAAGACTGGTGGAAGAATATCCCAGGCAGAGTTGTTAGCCATGAAGGTAGGAACGGGAGAGTGCTCTTTAGTTCAAGGATGAGTCTGCACTTGAAATGTTGTAAGTGAGGTGGAGAAAATTACAAGATGTGTAAGGGGACTCAGAAGAACAAGGAGTTGGTGCTGCATGCCATTCAAACTCATCTTGGTTCTTACTAGGGTTTCATATATGACTAATAGTGACTGATACCCAAACAAGAGACTTTCCCATACACAAATGGAAGATAAGAGACCTGAAAGAGCAAATAACCATATTCCTGGTGAAAGAGCTACTGACTTAGGTATCAGATGGATGATGCAGATAAGTATGAGATGTGTTCTTGAGGTAGAATCATTTGTAGGGAAGTCCTGCCAGGTCTCATTTTTCCTAGTTGCTTGGTTTGGGCTGCACTCATTTCTTTCTGAGACTCATTTTTACTACATCTAAATCCATACTTGTCATTAGGAGAGAAAAAATATATGGGGCTGGGGTCACAAATGAAAGACCCTGTGGTATATTAGCCCAGATTGGCAATGACACTTACATTCAAACCACCATTACTCTACCTCTGCATGGTTATCTCTCTTTTTATTTATGATTTTTTTTATTGTCTTGTAATAGTTGTACAGGGTGATACATTGTGACATCTATATATGTGTGTACAATATATCATTAGATTTGTCCCCTACATCGTTCTCCCTCATCCTCTCCCTTCTTAGATCAATGTCAACAGGTTTCATTATTCTGTTTTCATACATGAGTACAAAATGCACCCACAATATTTGCCCCCTCCTTCAGTCTCTCCTTATTTCCTCCCCCATCTTACTATTACCCACTCTTTGGTATTCTGTTTAGACACAATAGAAGTAGGCTACAACCATTTCTCTAAGGCTTTTGTGAAGATAGGCCACTTTGGAAGTGTGAAAACATCCTCTCTACCAGCATAGGTCCTAGGACAGAAGAGAGCTGTGCCTGTGGTGTAAAACTTGCCACCTGCAATACCCTTACTCCAAACCTTCAGCTCCACCTCCTTCCAATCACCTGTGGAGATACAAGTTGAGAATCCCCTATCCAAAATACTAGGGACCACAAGTGCTCACATTTGGGATTTTTGGGAGGAGGGGGAATGTGGAATATTGGCATATGCATAATGAGATATCTTAGCAATGGGACCCAAGTCTAAACATGAGATTCAATTATGTTTCATATGCACCTTGTAAGCATAGCCTGCTTAAAGGTAATTTTATACAATATTTTAATAATTTTGTGTATAATACAAAGCTTCATGGCATGGAATTTTCTATTTGTGACATCATGTTGGTGCTCAAAAGGTCCAGATTGTTTTTAGCACTTTGGATTTTTGAATTTTGGATTAAGCATGCTCAACCTGTATACACAGAGCACTGGGAAGGGCACACCAATACTCTTTTGAGTGAGTTCAGATCTAGACTCAGACAGCTCTACTTACTGGCCAGCTTCCTCCTAACTCACAGAAAGACTGGCTATACTGGGGAAGGAAATAGATAACAAATATGTCTAGCAATGGCTGAGAGAGGGGATTGTTCTTTTCCTTCTGCTCACAGGCAGAGAATCATTCTAATCTCTGCCTCATGGGATTACAGAAAGTATCACATGGCATTCTGTTCCCCTGGGTTCACATGCCTCATCATCCTTTCTCAGCTGTATGATGCAAGACAACTCCACTTCACTTCTTTTGACCTTGATTTCACTTTTCCCCTTCTACTGAAGAATTTAATATGATTGATTTGAGGGTGTTGTGGATGTAGATTGTAAAGCAGATCCCCTGTGCACTGGTATCAATCCCAAGGGAGTACTCTGAATATCTCATGGTCTGCACTTGGGGTCACACCAGTTTCTATTGCTTGAACAAGTCTGGTGAGGTGGAACAATCACACAAGTTGCATGAACAGGCTTATTGATTAGAAATAAGTTCAGTGGATGACAGAAGTCTTAGATTTGTGGTATCCCAAGGCTCAGGAAAGCTGAAGAGGGTGGATGGAGTCCTATCTCCTTTCATGGAATATCAAGGAACCCAAAAGTTGTATTACACCCTGGAGCAACAGGAACTTCTTGGCTAAAGCATTACAGGACCGATGGAAAGATCTGAGCTGTTCTAAACATTATCTACTTATCTCAACACATTTCATACTCAGCACATTCTACAGTTATTCTGAGAATTACAGGTAAGAAAAAAGTAAAAGAGCTATGCCACCTGCCATCCAGGGACTTGTGCTAAAGAGATATAGTATGTGATTTTCTGGCAGTCTATCAGAAGGGAGCTGGTATGATTTGTTTCCTCCTGGTTTCAGATCTTCCTGCAGATAACCACAAACTTCTGATTGGGCTCTCAGTGGCCATCATCCTCTTTGCCTTCCTACTTGTCTTTCTCATTCATCATTGGCACTCTACAAAAAAGAGTAAGTCTTGGGGAAAAAGAAACCAGTGAGTGCCATCTGGGCAGTGCGGGGGCAGCCTGGATGAAAGAATGCAGGTGGGTGTTCTTTGTTTGCAGAAGGATACCTGGTCCACAGCAGGGGCTACTGAGGAAGGGATCTCAAGAGAGAACACCAGAGCCCTTACCTCTTCCCTCAGTTCACATACCATTGTCAAATTCTTCACTGTATCCTCACATGCTCTGAAGCCACTGATATCTAGGAGAAGTCTCTGTGAAAGAGAGAACATTGGAGAATGAATTAATGGATAGAAGTTGGAAACTACTAATGGGATGGGTCCTTGAACATAGGCAGAATATCTAGCTCTGCTTTTAGGTATCTGAGAAACCTCAGGTACCCCCTGCATCCCTCAGTGCATTTGCATATGAATGTGAAATAAGCATTTAGAAGTCCTCCATGAGATGTTCTGATGACTCCCGTCTCCTACAGATGCAGCTGTCATGGACCAAGAGCCTGAAGTTAACAGAAGCATGAACATGGAGGTAAATCCACCTCATCTCACCCTCTTCTATAAAGTTGTATTCTCCCATGCAACACAAGGATGTGTGCACATACCTCACCCAACACTAGCCTCTTTCCAGGAGGCTGAAGGAGAAGAAACAGAGGAGGTGACACAGGAAGTGACATACACAGAGTTGGATCATTGGGTTTACACATGGAAAAAGATCACTCCCACTTCCCAGAGGCTCAAGGAATCCCCAACAGAAACTAGTATGTACATGGAACTCGTGAAATGCTAAGCCCAGATCAAGGGTTGTCTGAGCCCCATGAATCCTCATAGAAAGAACTGGGGAGGTGTTCTGTGGAAATCACAGCCCTTTCTCAAACTCAGATCACAGCAATGTAGCAATGGCTAGATGTGAAGACAAGATCCTCACCTTTGGGGCCATGCATCATCATCCGGTCCCAAAATGGCTCTCTCTTGATTACAATGTTCTATGGTTCTCATTACCCAGTGGAGATAAAGAAAACTCCATTGGTTAACCCATAATTCTTAATCCAACCTCTACATCCTATCTCACTGCACTTTCTTTTTTGTTTTAGCTTTGTAATTTTTATCAGTACATATTAATTGAACAATATGAGCAGTTTCATTGTGATATTTCCATACATGCATATATTATTCTTTGATCATACTCACATTCTATATTATTGTTTCTTATCTTCCCTCCAACCACTCACTGCCCTTTTTGCCTTGCACATTTTCAGTGGGTTCCATTATGACCTTTTCATCCATGTATGCAATGTGCTTTGATCATATTCCTCTTCGTCCTCTCTTCCCCTTCCCCCACCAGTTTCCCCCACTAACAGTCCCCCTCTTTATGTTGATGTCCATTTTCTCCCTTGGGGTCTCTCTTCCACATATAAGAGAAAACATGTGATATTTGTCTTTCCGAGTTTGGTTTATTTCACTTAACATGATAATCTCTGGTTCCATCCACTTTCCTACAAATGACATAATTCCATTCTTTTATGGCCAAATACTACTCCGTTGTTCACAAATACCATATTTTCTTTATCTGTTCATCTGTTGATGGGCACCTAGGCTGATTCTATAGCTTGGCTATTGTGAACAGTGCTGCAATAAATATGGGTGTGCAGGATGCACACCTGTTGCATCCTGACTTACATTGGGTCATACCATAAACTACTCCATGCCCCAGATACTCTCACCAGGAACATTTATGTACTTTTTAAAGATTTCACTGTATATGCTTCTTCTACTAAGAAACATTTTCTGACCTCGGGGTTGAGGTAAGGCACCTCTCTGCCTAGTTTCCCGTGTTAGCATTACTATATACACATTAATCTTAATGTTCTCTATTGTGTCCTCATGCCGGGACTGTAAGCTTCTTGAAGGTGGGGTCTGATTTGTCTCTGGGATGCATGCAAGGATGTAGCACCTAGGGTTTTTTAATGTTTTTTTAAACTTTAATTTTATTTTTGATTCATCATATATTAAGGATACAAGGAGAGTTCATTATGATAATTCCATGTGGATACCATGTACCTTGAACAATTTCACCACCTCCACTATATTCCCTTCCCCCCTCTCTCCCTCTTCACCCCTCTATCAAGAAGTGTTTGGTGGGTTTCATTTTGTGGTCTTCATATGTATATAAGCAGCATACTTCTATCCTCTTCACCCCTCAGTGTCCTTCTTCTCCTCCTCCCCCTCTCACTGAACCTCCCACTGAATGATACAACTGAATGTATATAACATGAATGTGTATGTGGGACTCTGCCATCTTTGTCAACATCATATTAGATCTAGATTCCACAAATAAGCAAGAAATGCAATATTTGACCTTTTGAGCTTCGTTTATTTCACTCAGCATTATGATCTCCCAGTTCCATCCATTTTCCTGCAAATGACATGATGTCACTGAGTTTTAGGGGTCGTGTCAATTCAACATAGGAGGATTCCTACTCTTTGCAAACGAAAGATAAGTTTGTGGATGCCAGAGGAGACTTGTGTAAAGCTGTTGTTCTTTCTATTCTCTTGTCCATCCAGTTATCTATTAAAATGTCCTGTTGTACACTTTATAAATATATACAGGTTTTACTTGTCAATTTTTTTAATATTTTTAAAATATTTTTTCTTTCGCCTGAAAATGTCTTTGTTTAATCTTTGTTGTGAAAAGGTGCTTTTGCTGAATGTAGAATTTGAGGTTCACAGTCTGTTTTCCCAGAATACAGAAGGAAATCTCACCCTGCCCACTGCCTTCCATTACTGCCTACTGACATTACTGACATCTGCTGTCAGTGTTGCTGCTGCTCCTCAGAAATCAATCTCTCTCATCCTCTGCTGCTTCAAAGATCATCTAATTGTCTGCGTGTTATGCAATTTTATTATAATGTGTCTATGTGAAAATTTTTTTTAATCCTCCTGGGGTTGCTTGGACTTCTTGAATCCAAGACTTGATATCTGTGTTAGTCAGAAAAAGTAATGTTTGATGGTGTAACAAACAACTTCCAAATCTCAGTGGCTTTAGTATATAAGAGCTCCTTGATTGATCATCAGTGGACACCAGGCAATGCCCTCCTAAGCAGGTCCCAGGACCGAAGCACCTTCTATCAATGCAGGCATTTTCAACTTTGAGTCCACTGTTGGATCCCTGAGAGATTCATGGATAGTATTTTGAGAGTTCATTAACTTAAATTGATAAGTCATTTTATTATTTTCTTTACATTGTAAAAATCTAGCAATTTTCTTAACATTTTTTAAAAATTTTTATTATTGCACTGGAGGTACATTGTGGCATTTACAAAACTTCTTACAATATATCAAATATATCATACTTGAATTCACCCCCCATACATTGGTTGTACAAGGGGGTTTCATTGTGAATTTCCATATATGCTTACAATGGGTTCACCCCACCATCACTCTCCCTCATCCCCCCACCCCCATTTAAGACAATTTCAACAGGTTTCATTGCTCTATCTTCATACAAGTGTATAAAGTACATCAATCATATTCACCTTCTTTTTTCCTCTCTGTTCACTCACACTCTGTACCCACCCACTAGTACTCACCCCTGAACTGGACCTGTTTTACATTCCTGTCATTCATTTTTTAAAGCTTATATTTGTTGTTCAAAGGGGTTTCACCATGTATTTCACCCATGAATATACTGTCCTTTATTCTCCCACATCATTTACCTCCCCCATCATTCTGCCTTACCTTCCCCCTCAACCCCTTATTATAGTGTTTTTCTTTCATTAGATATGCAGACATTGAGCCATAGTTTTATAGCTATGGATTTGTTATCAGTGGAAGTCACAGATACTTTTTTTATCACATTTATGTTGTTAAGTCACCTTGAAGTTGTTTATACTCACATATTATACATTGAAACCATGGTAGTATTTAATCTATCTCCATATTGTACACAATCAAAGTCTTTCTGTCTGTAGATGCTTGGTTCAAAATAGCTAGCCTAATTACTGGGCAACTGTGTACTCCAGAATGGTTTAGCCACAAAATAGTGACATTGTGATCACACTGGTAATCTAGTCTTTTATTCTGTATCCAGCCTTCCCTATCAACAATTGCTTGTTGATCAGGACATGGAATGAAGTCAAGGACCACTGTTTCATGTTCTTAGACAAGCCAAGTGACAGCAGCTCTCACCCGGATATGTCTCTGAAGAATACGATTTCATTTTAGCTTATCTACATTTTATTTATCCTTCCTTTTTGTTTTTTGGCATTGCTAGTGCTTGAACCTTTCTTAGACAGACACTCTACCACTTGAGCTACTCTGCCAGCCCTAATTTGTCTACAATTTAAATGCATTGTCTTGTTTATTTTATTTTATTTTACTTTTTAATTAGCATACACTGATCTTGCATTACTTTGAAAGCCAGCCTGTGTGTGGTGATGGCAAAGGACAAGTGGTGCCAAAATTCAGGTTCTCTACCTGATAAATTGGAATTCTCCATGTGCTAGCAGGCAGAGTGGTACAACTGAAGGCAAAGTCTTCACCCCCCTCTTTCAATCAAGATAACCCACTGAGCCCGAACTGCAGCCTCATAATTCCATGTCAACTCCCTTGTAGGTGGATTTGTGAGAATCCAGAGGGACTGTAAAAGTTTAAAACTCCAGGAGCAAAACCTGATACTTATTTGCTATTAATAAAAAAGAGAATTCTTGAGCCCTTCTCTTTCTTGTTCCTAAAATTTGCTTCCACAATTCACTTTACTCCCTCAAACATGCAGGCATCCTGGGGTCCAACCAGATTCCTGGTGTTATGGTTTGGAGATGAAGCATCTTCCCAAAAGGCTCATGTCTTAAAGGCTTGGTCCCCAAATGATGATGTGATCAGGGGAGGAGGGCTTAAACTGCAGCTTCAATGGACTATTAGGAGGTGGGCCTGGTTAGAGGAAGTAGGTCACTGGGGTGTCCTACCTTGGCCGATCTCTTCTCTCTTCTCTTCTCTTTTCTTCTTCTTTCTTCTTCTTCCTTCTTCTTCCTTCTTCTTCCTCCTTCTTCCTCCTTCTTCTTCTTCTTCTTCTTCTTCTCTCTTCTCTCTTCTTTCTCTCTCTCTCTCTCTCTCTCTCTCTCTCTCTCTCTCTCTCTCTCTCTCTCTCTCTCTCTCTCTCTCTC